AAAAATTAAGGTTGGTATTAATATTTAAAAATTGAATTGCTATCTTCATTGTTGCTAACTTCCGGTTTAATGTTTTTTATTCTAACTTTTTTGTTTTTTGAGATAAGTGCGTCATCTTTGGACTCATTTTAAAGGTTTTTTAATGAAGATGACAAATATGTCAAAATTGACGTTGACGTTTCAAACCGGAAGTGATTGTATTTCCATTAATATCAAAGTTTTAGTATCAAGATTTTTTATGAAGTTGACAAATATGTCAAAATTAAAAGTTGAAAGTTCGAACTTTTTAGTTTTTCGCCGAGGGGCTACATTTAACACTGTATTAATCTGGCCAAGAGATATCACAACGTCTTAATTAAGCGTAGAACGGAGAATATATGATATGGCTTGTTTAAGCCAATGTCTTCACTACAGGTCAAGACTAAGAATATATTATATGACTAGTTGCAGCCACTCATCAAAGTGCGCTACAATCCAATTCAAACTTTGGCCTAATCAATTTTCTTCTTCTATCTATTTCAGTCTTCATCATTGACTTGCAGGCCTATTCCCTTAACTGTGGTTTAGAGTTCCCTGAAGAACTTATCTAGTATGTTAATGTTATCTGTATGTTGTATTCTCAGAGTTTCTCTGAACTTTATCAAAAACTTTCCTAATATTTATAGTATGACTTATCCGAAATCCGTTTTAACGAAGTCGTTTCATATCGAGGTTTTACTGTATTATTATTATTAAATAAAATGACTTACCCAAACATTCCGAAAATGTCATTCCGATTTTAGTGCGTTGTGGGGGAAAATCAAAGTGTTTGTTGAAATCATCTCGTTCTGATCGTTGTCTTCATCGATGACTTCGACTTCGTTGGAGTCTTTGTCGACCAAAAAGGAGGATTTAAAACCTTGTGACAGCAAAATCCTTTCTCGAACCATCTAATTATTTGGTCGACACCTTTCCGTGCGATTTCGACGATTCAGCATCTTTTTCTTCCCTCTATATACTATCAGGAAATTTCATTTTCGCCTCGAAAACCGTTCGTCGCTTCGTCCGCGTTCGTTTAATCAAAACTCTCGCATTATTAAAACGGCAAAGTTTATGCGTCTGCAGTACACGGCTAGTTCGCTAATTTGAATTTCGCGCGAATTAAAACTTTCCGCTTCACAGTTTCGGCACTCTTCATTTCCTTTTGTATTCCAATGTGTTCATTTTATCGATCCTTTTGTAACACATCCATTTCATTTTTAACTCCTTTTAAACTCTAAAAAATAATATAATAAATCTCAATTAAAAAATCTGATATAAAGATTCACCGCGTAATAAACAATTTAACTGGTCGTTAAATAATTTAATCAGTTCGAGCTTTACGATCGTTTAAGGAAAACATAAAACATCCCCGGGAAGCGAAAAGCTGCATTCAATTAATATTATTCAAAACAATCAATTTGCTGTCGTATACGGTGAAGGGGAAGAGGGAGAGTATGTTTTAAAAGAGCTTTTAGCGTTCGCTTTGCATACGGGGCGAAAGCTCCCGAAAGCTTCACCGGATGCCGAAGTTAGATTAGCCCGAGGGGAAAACAATGCTAACTGCGATACCCGCTTTTATAGCTTCGTTTAAATGGAAAGCACACGACAATAAGCTCTTCTATACGAGGCGCGAAACGTCGTCATCGTTGTTGTTGTTATTCGTTATAGCAAAAAAAAATTATTCAATTCGCTTTAATGGACAGGTTTATGTCTTTGTTTAAATTAACTTTAAAGAGGAAACTTTTATATTAAAATAGGGCCATATGTCACCCCCTCTGTATCAGCTGATGCTTCTTTATCGCCATAATTGAGGAGGTTTTCCTTGGGCTGATTTACGCGGCAAGTTCGGACGTGACATATGGCTCATATTTTTTCCTCTTTTTTTAGTTCTCGCGCGACGTGTTCTTAACTCGTGTTTTGTAAACTATAAATCGAAGCGCGCCCCTCGGGGCGTTCGCACGTGAGTTATGGCTCGCCCTCCTATCTTTAATAACATTGGGGAAAAACTTCCGGGTCTCCGCCCAAACTTTCCATAAACAAAGCCGATTCAACTAGATCCACATCCTAACGAGCACATTCAAGATAATACCTAAGTTCTTGTAGCGAATAAAAATAACAAAAGTCGAATTAAGTTAATTTCGATTTTGCTTCATTAATCTTAAATGGTGACAAAAGCAATTCGGACAAAGTGCGAATGAAGCCGTTTCACGTAAGCGGTCAAAATTCATTCCGTTGCGCCGGTCAAAGTGGCCACGACCTCAAAGGAAAGGTGAATGACGCCGGCGGTGGCTTGAAATCAAAGGGGTTAATGAAACTGCCTTGCCTTCGGGTAATAGCTAATCTCGCGCGAATGCCGCTAAATATGCAAGTCTCGCGTTCAGGATTTTCTTTCAAGATGCATTGTGGGGTATCCGTTTAGTTGGTATTCTGAACACGGCGAGATCTACATCCCGTTTGTGTTTTTTTTTTGCTGCTATTTGTTTACAGAAAGTTTGCAACGGACTTTTCTTTAAAAAGACGACGACCCGAAAAGTTCTGTGAATCGTGTATTTCTTTTTTTGATCATTTTTAACTAAATAGAAGTTGAGAAACATCTTTTATTCGCCTCTCCGATCTCTATAAACGGAGCTGTTACTTCGCCAATTCTTCCTCTACAGGGTAATTCAAATTCGACCCCCACCATTGAGATCTCAAAAACCATAAAAAATACAGAAATGGTTAAATGGGGGAAAGTTGCGTATCTTAGAGCTCATCATTTTTCAACAAAGTTTTTGGATCTAGCCGTTGTACTTTTTAAAATATGGCCGAAAAAACAAAAAAATTACTTTTCGTTTTTTGCCTATAACTCCTTTATTTTTCGTTTTTTTTATGAATCTGAAAAAACATTCTTGGGGCAACTTTTTATGAAAAATGTCAAGACACAACTAGAAATATTCTCGCAAACTTTGCCCCCATTTCTGTATCTCTTATGATTTCTTAGATCCCTATGGTGGGGGTCGAATTTGAATTACCCTGTATATATTATATTCACCTTTTGATGGAGGATTAAAAATGTTGCGCATTTCTGCGCAGTCTTAGAATCTAATACAATTAGTTTCATCATAGAGTTTGATTTTGTACTTTTAAACTGGTTTTTATTTTATATAGAATTTAAATCTAACTAGTTTCGGCCCTTGGTCATCTTCAGACACTCTACAAATAGATTAACATCTCTCATCTTATCCATTTTACAAACAAGTTTCTTAATATGTATTTCTTTTTCTTATATCAAACGCGAAATCAGATAATTAGTTACTAATTTACAAAATTAGAGTTTAAAAAGTTGTAAAATGAAATTAAGGACGAAGCGTTACAAGTTTACAGGTTAAAATTTAAGAACGCTCTTTTTTAACAAAAGAGATATTAAGAAACTTGGGAAGAATTCAAAAATCATCATAATCAATGTGAAATGACATTGAGATCGGCTAAACCCGATTGATTCTAGTTCTAGGTCTTATGTTAGTTCTAGTGATAGTTCTAGTTTTAGTGCAATAGAAACATGCAACATACCTACTGCTGTCGTTTGTAATATAGATAAGATGAGAGATGTTAATCTATTTGTAGAGTCTGAAGATGGCCAAGAGCCGAAACTAGTTAGATTTAAATTCTATATAAAATAAAAGACAAACTTTTAATTTTATACTTACATCTAGAAAACGACACTGGCCCGAAATTGTAGGTTCATCTATTTTTTCTATTGTAGAATTTCTTGGTTCTTAGACGTATGATGCAAATCGGACTTGAAATCGTATAACGTGAAGTCTTTCGGTATTCTGCATTTTTACTAAGATAAGTTACACCTTTTCCAATTACCGGTGACACTAACTCCGCTCTAAAACATCCTGGTGATCTTGTTTTCTCACTTTCAAAGTAAATCTGATGGTCACATTTAGTCTGCAACAATAGAAAATTAAAAATGTTTTTTTTTTTTGGTAAATTTTAGTTGATGGTAATAAAATTTATGCATTAGTAGACTAAGTTCGATATCAAAAGAGGAGGAAGTAAACTTACGAAGTAAAAGTTTTAATTTAATTTTAGATTCTGACTTGTGCATCTATCAGAGAGATAACCCTTTTACGTTACACAATCAATTCCAGAAACTCGGCTCTTAAACAAGCAAGATTCGGCCTTTAACATCCTAAATATGACTGCATCGCGCCCGCTTCCTCGCTCTCAATTACCAAGGGGGGGTAACCCCCCTCCACCCCCGAATATCAAACTCAAACAGAGCTTTGGTTGGTCCTCTCTCGGAAATCTGCATAATTACCGGGATTTATACGCGGTAATTCGAATCGTGTGCGTATTCTTTGGGTAAAGTCCGCCAACGGCTAATTCAGTTTAGCCGCGACTTCCGGCTCCAATGCTTCTGCAGCTAGCGCCCTCTGGGTGTTCGGTGTTTCGGTGGTTGTACGTATAAACCGGGTCGTCGAGATATTGCTTGCATGAATGGAGCACTTAGCTGCGAGGAATTGGGGCAATAGTGTATTTCTACGTGTTTTACTGCGCTTCCTAGTTTTGTATTTTCCTTTTTTGTATTTTCCGTTTTTGGTGGTGCTCGCGATTCGGGTCGTTTCTGCCGAAACACGTCAAAATTACGACGTCAGGTGTAGGTTAACGGCGAAACGCCTAATTTTGTTTCACCCTCTTTCCCCTTCGTATTGTGAATATTACGGACCTCACTGTTTATTATTATTGTGTACTGCTAGTTTTGCTTATTGCTATCGTTTCTATTCCAGGTAATTCTCGGCGTGGAAAATTGGAAGTTGAAATTTCTCCAATGTTAAATAACTTGTCGAAAACAAATAACTGAGGTAAGTGCTTCCTCATTAAAATAAATAGGAAGTTAATGTTTTGAGGTCAAAGCCAACATTTTAACGCGTCGTTCTTACATAAAAAAAAGTAATGAAGTTACTTTGTAAATTTTACGCAACACAGGAAATTTTCGTTAATTAAATCTCGTAAACACGTTTGTAGTGGAGATAACGATGTCGCGAGGTAATTAGAGGCCGCATTGCTTCGAAACCGCCTTTAACGCGGTGACCTTTCCACAAACGTGCTAAAAAACCAACATCAGAAGGACGACTTCCAATTAAAATATTTATAAAATCCTCCCCGTAAAGGATTAGTTTTATAATTTCTTTCCTGATCCTTTTGCGGTTTACGCTGTAAAAGAGAAACGAGGGAAAAAGAGAAGGAGGCAAATTTAACGAGAAAAATCAATCAAAAATGGTTTTGTTGGCGATCCTTTCCTACGATGTGGAGCGGAAACAGCACGAGAGCGTAAACAAACACCTCGGATAAAATTCTGACAGCAACCGAACCTTGTTCCAACGAGCATCACATCCTTTTTATTTTACCCGGTATAGAAATTCACATGCTGAGCTGAAATGTGCAGGGGTAAATAGAGTTAGTAGTTTTTGATGTCGAAGCATTCCTCGGGTCGAATATTAAAATAGGAAGTTAAAAAAGAAAATTAAGATATCATAAAGAAATGACAGGAAGAAATGATATGCAAAGGAGGAGTCGATAATCGAAAGGATTCGAATCCATTGTCTGACCTGGAAGATCGACAAATTTCGTAAAACGCCACCTGCAGATGGTCGAACGTTCGCGCGCGTAATTCAAACTGACAAATATTGAGAAATATTTATACTCCCCGGATTTAAATGAACCGTGCGACGCTCTAGCCGCCCGAGTTCCCCGCTGCCGACAATAGTCCGTAGATTTTTCTGGTCTCCCGTCTGTATTGAAGGGCCGAATAAATATTCTTTTGAGGGCGAGTTCTACATTCGGCCGCCGGGGGGTGGGAAACCAAAACGACGCCTTCAACCCCGTTTGTACCTCTGTCTCGTATTGTGTTCGAGTATTGGCGCACAAAGGAGAGACACGTAGGCGTGCTTTGATAAATTTTCATCGTTAAGTGCAGGAGGATTTCCTCTTTTTGTCGTTGAAATGCCTGCCGACAGAAAGGATTTTGCAAAATGGATAAGGATATTCACTGGATGTATAATATATGAGGTTCATGTTAAAAGATATGTGACTTTTAAGACTCTCAAATATACACAATACTTTTCAATACTTTTTATCTTTTCAATAAACATACGTGGACTACCAATCAGCGTAATTTAAATTTCTACTTTCGTTTGAAGATGCACAGCTAAATCCGAAACTTTCTAGTTTTAGATATAGTATTAGTTCAATATCAATACAGGGTGTACAAAAAGTATGGAATAATACTTAAGCATTAAAACCTTATGGTATTTTGCAACACCTTGTCAAAAGGAATCCAAAAACCTTCAAATATACAGAGTGTTCTATTTAAAAAACACGCTCACCATGTCGTAACTCAGACTGCCGTCATCATTTTTATTTTATTTCTACGCCAAGATATGCGGAAAATAGTTTCAAGTAACTTTTATTTAAAACTTTTTTTAATATAAGTTGAAGTTTAGGCTGTAGAACCATTATTCCATACTTTTTGTACAACCTGTATATGTACAACAATTTAATGCTCAATAGTAACTAAGACTAGAGCTAACAGTAGTACTAGAACTAACAATAGATCTGTGTCCTGGAAGTTCTTTCTTTGAATCCTTCCATGTATTATTAATTATGTTTAAGGAGACTTTTTTAATTATTCCAAGGCTTTGCTCATAAATTTGTTTCTATGATAAATCGTGATCGATTATTTCTTCATACTCGCCGATTAAGTTTTCTGTGATGGCTTACAACCTATATAGGAGAAAATTTTGTAGGCTGTACAGGGTGGTCAAATTTGGGTGTTGTTATAGGCTATCTCAGAAACTATAAGAGATACGAAAAAAGTAGGCGCCATCTATTTCGTCCTGGTCTCTTTTTTCGAGACTAATTCAACCTCGCAAACACCAAACTTTTATCTTCTTTTGTTTTTAAGTTATGGCCAAAAAAGCAAATTTTCGTGATTTCAAAAAATGCGCATATTTCGTTTATTCTTGAAATTAGAAAAATGGGGTTGATACGTTCTTAAAACACTTCTTTAAATAGAATATATTGCCCTTGAAAAATTTGAAACACACTTGATAATTTTTGAGATGTAACACAAAGTTGTATTTTTTTAAATACAAAGTATAGTTGATTTTGATGTTATTGAAAAAAGCGTTAATTTTCAATTCCAAAATAGTAAGCGCTAATGTTCAAAGTTTTTGATTATTCCCCTTTTTGTACACTGGACAGATAATTTCTGTTTTCCAAGTGGTTGGATTTGATTAGGTTGCGTTGGGTTGTGTTGTGTTTTGGTTGAATTATCTTTGGGTTGGTTTGAATTTGGTCGGGTTGGGTTGGTATCCCAGGTTCCTGCAGAGGACTCAACCCAATTTCTCTTGGAGAATTATGGGTGCAGAATAGTATTAAAGTAAAACTAGACCTAAAACTAGATATATTCTAGACACTTTCTAATTCTAGGTCTTGTGTTAGTTCTAGTGTTAGTGCTAGTGTAAAATTAGCTAGTTTTGGGTTAGCAGTGCGTTTGAAGACGCACGGCTATACCCAGACCTTTCTAGTTCTAGGTCTAGTGTTAGTTCTAGTTTTAGTTCTGTAAGAATATACAACAATGTAATTCTAGCTAAAGATAATAATAACTAAGACTAGAGCTAAGTAGCACTAGAACTAACATTAGACTTAGAACTAGAAAAAAGACGGCCGAATGTTTCTTAGTTCTAAGCCTAGCCTTTCTCTTTATACCTTACGGTCTTGGGTTTTGTCTCCATTTTTTATACATCTTATCTCTGGCCATAGTCCGTATTTCGGCTAGTTTCTTCCTTCTTCTTTCAACCATTTTCTCAATCTCCCTCCCATTGGTGCTCTTGGGGGTTCAAGCATAGTTCCTCACTGATGTTCTTGTTCCGTATCTCTTCTGGTTTTCCTCAATATCTTGCGTCATATCTTCATCTCTGCTGCTTCATAAGTTTCTGATCCATAATTAAATGTGGATTTGCTTTACTGTTCAGTTCCTTTTGCCTACGAGGATGTTCTTTATTTGGTAGTAGACTGCGTTTACTTTTGTTGTTCTGTTGCGTATTTCTTGACTTAGATAAATGAGACGCTGTAAAAAAAACATAATTTTTGACAAGTGACAATTTCATTTAATAATAATTGTACTAAGATTCAAAATAAATTGAAAGTATAAACAACTTTTAAAATAAAATTACATTACTTCGATTAACTTAATGTTGGATTCATAAAGTTGTTTGATTGTCGTTATTCCGAATTTAATTAAGATTGACGAGGAAGATGACGAAAACGGCAATGAAGAAGAAGATGACGAAGATGAAGAAGTTTCAAGAATCGTAATCGTCCAGGGTGCGACGCGATAAATTTAATCGTTATATTAAATATTAAATTCAAAACGTACGCCTTCGTACCGCCAAAAACTGGAACGTCTACGAGGGGTCCATAATTTACACGGGATCTCGTTAAGAGCGGCGTTGCCGCTCGCGTATATCGAGGTATTAAATATGCAACGAAATATTTTCTAGGTCGGTAACTCCCTCTGACGGCTTCCGAGCATAACAACTAGTAGAAGGTGGTGAGGTCGTTTCGTTCGCGGCTTTAATGAAAATTGCATATCATATAATAGAGAAGTAATTGGATTAATTACAGTTTTCGAAATGTAAGAAACGTCAAATTTAACGTTAAGATTCCCATTTAAATTTAATTAGTAGTATTAGCGAAAGAAAATACGAGATGAAGAGAAATATTACCCCAACAACGCCTTATTTTCTTTGCTGAGGAATTAGCTTCCAAATAAAAGGGGCACCCTTAAGAAAGTGGAGCTTAATTACGCAGCAAACAACGCAAGCGATGGTTTTCTTGGCGTTTCGTTGATTTTTCCCGGATTGCTCTTCAGGTGGAGCAGCACTTTATTTTTGTATTTTTCCTTTGTATATCTCGTTCTTTTCTTGTCTCCGCCTCCTTGGAAGTTTACCTTAAAATATTTTTCGGTCGATTCCGAGTGGGGAAGATAATAATTTGTTTCGGACACTCCCCGTTTTCTATCGCAACCCCTAACGCTTCTTAAATTTATCAAGAGTTACTTCTCTTTCAGGTCTTCTTCTTTGCCTTTTCGCCTTTGTAATAGCTTCAATCTTAATTTTTTCTTTTTACCGAATTGGGAGAAAAAATGCGAGGATACTTTTCGCTAACTTCATCCGTTATCGTTTTATCTAGTGGCACTACTCTTCGAGTAGATGGTTGTTTACACTGTACTCGCACAAGTCGTCCAGTTTCATCTTGTCCACTTCGTTGGGAATTTCACGGTTTTTCAGGGCCATTTACACGGCTGTGGATTGGACAATGGGGTTTTATCGGATGTGCTGCGAGAAGGCTGGAAAAGCTCCGGGCTTCTCGTCCATCTACTGCATATAATAATGGCTTTGTGGTCATGGAGACCAGAACGTGTTTATCTGAAGCTTTATACACACCGGATGACTTCTATCGGGTAAAATCGGTATCAGCGAACCTTTAAAGCTTTATTCGCCACGCTTCCTCACCCGAGGGCTTTTTTATCAACCGGTTATTGCAAGCGCAGAAATCAACCACACCGGAATAACAAGTCGCTTTGTTTTTTTTGTTTTTTAATCGAATTGAATTTCAAGAATAATTTAAATAAAAAAATTTCACTACAATTGTAGAGTACTCGTTGTAGTAGCAAGTTAATAAGCAGCCCTTAAGAGGATGGGTGGAGCAGTAGCGGCAGCAATGGTTCTCGGTGAGAAAAACCAGAAACACTCGGAGCAACGTCAGTTACAAAGGACCTCTAAATCACAGTGTAGTT